CAGGGAAGGGCTCACCAAAGGAACAAAGGCCTCTTACAGCACGTTTGTCCCCGAGGAAGCCCCCTCTCCAGCCCTCGCTCCAGTGCCAAACAGCTCAGTTCTTCCCTGTATGTCTCTGGTGCCCCTCGAGCTGCCTCCCCTCCGAGCTTAGAGGGAGAGAGTCCGATAAGTCCGTGCGCCGGCCCTTTAGGGAGCTGCCTGGGGCTCCAGCTGCCTCAGCCTCCCTGAGCCTCGGTTCCCACTGGTTTTTCCAGCCAGAAGTTATGGGGACTCTCTTCCTGGCACTGGAACCCTGAGCGGGGCACCTGGTGTGGGACGGGGACCCCTCAGTCCTCAGGAAGGGCCTTCCCAGCCGCGGGAGCCTCCTGATTTTTATCCACCACACGTGGGTGTGGGACCAGCCCGTCTCGCCGCCGCCCCTCCTACCAGTCTGGATGTAGCTGCTGCTTTAATTCCGTAGTTGTAGGACTTCCATTCAGCTTGATTTCAGGCGGTTTTGAATGATGGTTGTTCTGTAGTTTAGTTGTAACTTTGATGTGGTTGTGGGAGGACGCGATACTGCGTTTACCTACCCGCCATCTTGACCCTGTATTTCTAAAAGCCAAAATTTTTAAATCAAAAGGGAAATCCTGCATGGGTGGCAGAGAGTTAAAACAGGGCCTTGGTGCCCTGGTTGGGTGGCTCTGTTGGTTGGCACATCATCCCGAACATCAAAAGGTTGCGAGTTCAATCCTCTTTCGGGGTGCATTCGGGAGGCAACTGATCTCGAACTCTCGCTCTCTCTCCCCCCTTTCCTCTCTCTCTAAAATCCATAAACATATCCTTGGGTGAGGATAAAAACAAACAAACAAATAAAACAGGGCCTGGAGTCCGGACAGAAAAGAGGATGGGTGTAGCCCTGACAGGTGCCAGGCACACCCTCCACCCAACATGGTCACGCTGTCCCAGGTGACCCATGGATTCCAGCAGTCAGGAGTGACCTTCCTCTTCCAAAGTGTGCCAGGAAGATCAAGTGTCCTGGCTGTTCTGCTGATGAGCTGAACACCATGAGGGCCGGCCTGGGGGGCCTCACCCCACATTCCTTGCCCAAGCCCTGCTGGCCTCCAGGCCCAGCCTCCTCAGGGGCCAGGCTGGAAGCTGGAACCGCAAGCAGAACCGGACTAATGGCCAGGGCTGTTGCTGGGATAACGAGGTAACAGACCGGGAAATTGCCCACCAGAAGCACCTCGGAACCCTTGGGCAGCAGCACCCTTTGGCTGAAAGCCTCGCACCACCCCCTGCAGTGAGCCCCCTCTGCCAGCTGGGGCTGGGTGCCTGCGGGTGACCCTGGGCCTCCAGAAGGAGGCTGCCCACCCTCTGGCCTGTAGGGCCTGGCTCTGCCGTCTGATCTTCCCAATGGAAGAGGAGGAAAGAGTCCTCAGCTTCTTGGCCTGGCCAGGAGCCGAGAGCAAGTTCTGACCCAGCAGAGGGACTCATCTATTCTAAGTTAATTAATTCGTCCTGGTTAGAGCGGAGAGGACGCTGTCCCTTTAGAGATGAGAGATGGTATCTACTTCGTCATAGTCCCTACCACTCCCGATCGTCCCCTACCTGGCCACCTCACCCGTGCACATCACCTGCCTGGCTCCTAGAGACATTCCATTTCCGTAGGGAATCGGCTCAAAGGAGACCTCAGAGAAAACATTAACAACTTGAAAACTGTGAAGACCGACTAGGAGCTGGAAGTTATCTCCCAGGTTAATGCAGGTTACAGCCACATTAGATACAAGGCATTCTGGAGTTTAGCTTTAAAAGTCAAGAAGCAACCAACTTGGGAGTTTTGCTCAGAGAGACCAAGAGGGAAGGGTGTGGTAGACACGCGTCTATGGGCCAACGTCTTTCCCAGACTTCTCACTGAAACATCCATCTTGTGCAGAAGGTAAGATTTAGCCCCATTTCACAGATGAGGAAACTGAGGCAAAGAGAGCTAGTTAGATGAGCTTCCTGAGACCACTCAGGTCATGAGCAGCAGATTGGGGTTTGAACCAAGGGGAAGCCTGGTTCTGAAATGACGCAAGCCCCACCCTGACCACTCTCCTTCCAAGTGGCCGGGAAAGAGAACTTGACAAAATGGGTGCCGATGGGGCCTAGGAGGAGTGCAGATACCACGTTAGGGCTTCAGACGTTGCCCAGAGCCTGGGGGAAGGACTGGGGAGCCCAGGGGCAGGAGGAGAGGACGAGGCTGCCCGGGGCTGAGGGAGCATCCGGGAAGAGGTGCTGCCTGAGGTGGCTGGGAGGGTGAAGGTCATGGTCACCACTGTTCTGTGGTGGGGTGGACAGGAGGTGAGGAGGATGCCTTCTGGACTTCTCAGGGGAGCCGGTTTGTCCTGTAGAATAGGTGGGTGACCTCTTTGGTCCCTTGGGTTTCTGAGTCTTCAACCAGGGCCCCAGGGCCTTTGCTTGGAGCTTGGCCTGGGCCCCAGCAGCCCCGCTCACTACCCTGGTCCCTTCCCCTCTCAGGGTCATGCACACGCTTCTGCCTCCTCTCGGAAGCTTCACTTCCTCCTAAGGGAGGTGGTTTCCTCCTCATTCTCAGAAAGTCTGTGTAACTCCCTGGATTCGGGTCCGCTTTCTCATGGGCCGGGAAGAGTCATGAGACTGAGACTCCATATGTCCAGTTCACAGCCGCACCCGGCCCCTGGCATGGTGCCTGGCCCCTGGGCTGGCCGCTAGCAAGGGCCGGAGGGAGCGGACAGAAGGGGGCAGGCCCACTGACTGGCTGCCTTCTTCTCCCTGCAGATCATCATATGTGACATCATCCAAGAGGGCCTCTGGGACGGACTTCAGGTCATTGTCGGCGGGAAGTTTCTTTGGTCCCATGAAAGCAGGTACCTAGAACTGTTGCTCCCCAGCCCTGCCCTGAGCAGACCATGGCACCTGCAGCTCAGGCTGGCTCACCCGACACTCTCCAGGCTGCCCGTGCCTGGCTCAGGGGACGCTGGGGGAGCAGGGCTCGGCCCCTGCCCACACTGCCTGGCACCCCTGCCATCTGCCAATAGCATCTGGACACCATTAACGTAGACTCCCCATAGCCGCAGAGACTGCAGGAGCTCACAGTCTAAGGCCAGCCCGGGAGCAGACCATTCTCGTCTAGGATTGAACTTGGCACACGAAGACCCAGAGATGCAAACTCTTTATTTCCCAAAACTGCCTTCATTTACTTGGAAGCCCTCATTTGGCTGATGTGGAAATACTGAAATTTGCCATAAAATTTAATCTGGTCTTTTTCTGTTTTGAGTTCTTTCCTGGAAAATACTAAGTCAATTTAAAATACAAACATCGTCTCACACCTTATCCCACCCAAGAGGGGATTTGGGGGAACAGGGGAGAGCCTGTACATCTTCTCAGAGGCTGGAGAGCCCTCTAGTGTTCGCGCAGCCTGGCCGAGGTCCGGGCGGTGTGGCGTGTGGGGCTCTTGCCTGATCTGGGTGGCATCTCCGTACACGGTGGCTACCTGCTGATGTCCATGGTGCCCACAGAAGCTGTCTGGATACCTCGCCCTCTCTTGGAAACCTCTCTGTCTCAATCCCAGATGTCTTCTGTCCCCAGTGTCTGTTCATCACCTTGCATGGGGCCTGGGGACCTTCTGGATCCCTCCGTGGCCCAGCCCTACCTCAGCTTGGCATCTGGGCTCTAGATGACTCTCTCCACCATCGCCTTCCCTGCCAGGTGGTTCTAGCCACGCTCATCCCGGGACACCTCTGAGAGCCCCCAGGAGACCCCATGAAAAGTGAGGCACCCAGATCCCCTAAACCCTGCCATCAGGGGAATCTGGGACCTCACCTCTGAACACCCCCTTCTCTCTCCTTCTCCCTCTGCCTACCCTCCTCCCACCACCAGGGGGGCTTTCTACCCCCATCCTGCTGTGCCCTCTCCCTCGGGTGCTCCTGCAGTCTCCGCCCTGGGGCAGGGATTTTCAGGGGACACAGAAATGGGGCTGCAGGACCACAAAGGGAACAGTACATCCAGGGACACAGAAACAATAGTCTCTGTGTGAACAGGACGTGGATTGGCTTTTCTGGTTCCGAGTCACGGAGGCCCCTCTCCTGTCAGTGTCCCAGCAGGAAGGCTGGCTGGCTCTGGGCCACAGCAGCTCCCTGCCGCGAGGGTCCAGAGAGAGCCGGGGTTGAGGTCGGCACCCAGAGCTCGCCCCGGTCCACGGAGGAGTCAGACGGGCTCTGCAGGGACTGGGCAGAATGTCTGTCTGGGGCAACTGTGCTCGGTGCAGTGCCTGGCCCTGCGGGGACCCTTCCCTGAGTGCTGTGCGTTAGCCGGGGACACCAGCGGGACCCCAAGAAGCAGGCTGTGAAACACGTTCACGCCGACTTCAGGGAAGGCTGGAGTAGACAGCGGGGCCTCGGCGGAGACCTCGGATTGGAGCTGGTTTTAGGGCCCGAGTCTGGGAAAAGGCAGAACAAGCATGTCTTGCGCCCTTTTGGGAGGCTGGCTCCCTGGAAGGTTCTCTTGTGTTCATTCCTCACCTTGGAGCCATGGCTCCACCCGAGGAGGTGATGGTGAGGCTTCCTTCCCAGGGAGAGACAGGAACGGAGATTTGCTATCGCGGGGGCTTCCTGAACATCACCTCTAATCATCCCCAAAGGAAGGGAGTCCCCGCCTGGGTGCGGCGACTTGAGGGTAGTGAGGTTCAGGGTCACCTCACAGGACAAACAGTCCAGAGCTGGGGTCTGGGGCCAGGCCTGTGGACTGCGGGGCACCCCCCCCCCATGTGTGGGACACACGCCGACCTCCGGGAGGGGCAGACCCACGCCCCGGGAGAGCTGCGCTGTGCCCCACGCCTGCCCGAGACCCGTCTCCGTGGCACAGTCCATCGCCCACGCGCCTGTCTCTTCCTCCCGACTGCGCAGGCGCGGGCTGTCCTCTGAGCAGCGCGGGGCCGAGGCCCCCGCTTCTGGCCTGGTCCTCCACCTGCATCTGCGACACAAAGCTGTCACCCGTTTCCAAGACCTGTGCTTCCTGTTGCTGGTGTGGACGGTTTTCTCTACCCATTTCCCAAGTATTTTTAGAAAGTCACACTGGAGAGGGCAAAATGCAGTAAGTGCACAGAAACACACGAAGAGCAGATTGGGTGACAGAAAGGAAGGCAGCAACGTGAGGTGGGTGACGAGGTCCCAGACGCCGGCAGAGGCAGGGGCCTCCTCTCCGACCCTGGCAGTGAGCCAGACTCTGGTCTCCCTCGGCCCAGGTTTGCTGTGAACTTCCAGATCGGCCACAGTGACTCGGACATTGCCTTCCACTTCAACCCTCGGTTTGAAGGCGAAGGGTACGTGGTCTGCAACACGAAGCAGAGAGGATACTGGGGGTCGGAGGAGAGAAAGATGGGAAATCCCTTCAAGAGGGGGATTCCCTTTGAGATCCGCTTCCTGGTGCAGAGCTCCCAATTCCAGGTGAGCAGGACCCCCCCCCCCCCCCCCCCCCGCCCCTGCGCCTGCCCCCTTCCCTATCAGGCCTGGTGGAAAGCCTTTAAATAATTACCCAAGCAATGTCATTATGCAGATAACAGGACCTCATACACCTTCACCTGCATCTACAGGGGCACCTGCTGCGACAATGACCAGGAAATAAGAGCTAGATAAATCACCAGAGCCCTTTGGCCTCGGGCTCCAAGTTAATCCCATTCCTCTGCTGTAGCCATTTGTCCTCTCCAGGTCCTTGAAAACATTTGCTTTTGGGTGACAGTGTCACAGCCCTTATCCAGGACCTGGGAATGCTTAGTTGTGCTTGGTGCTGTAATGGCTTTTGCAAACAGAGTGGTGCCGCTGGGCTGGGAGACGGACGGCTGTGTCTGTGCTTCTCTGTGTGAGCGTGGGTGTCCCCTGCCCTCAGTGTGCAGAGGGGACCCGGGGTCCCCTCTCCTCTGTGCCCCACGAGCATTTATGCACACTTAAATGTGCATATTTAAACAACACCCCAGGTGAGCTAAGATTGGAAGGACAAACCTCCTGCAATAAACAAACAACCGTAAGAACTAAGAAGCAACCACTAGACCCAGTGGTGGTTGGGTTTGGATGCACTTTAGATCACATGCGTGTTCTGTAACGGGCGCAGCTCTGAAGGCTGGTGCCCCAACCTGCAGGGGATGGAGGTGAAAACCAGACATGTCTTAATTTCTAGAAGCAGGGGTCCTGGAGGCTCAGGTGCGCTCCCCGCCCTGGTCTTGGATCCCTCTCCTGAAGTACGCACTCCTGTTGACAGGTGATGGTGAATGGAAATTTCTTTACTCAGTACACACACCGCGTGCCCATCCACCGCGTGGACACCATCTCCTTCACTGGTGGTGTGGCGGTGAACCACATCAGCTTCCAGGTCAGACTGTCCACCTGGCGCCTGTCCCAGGGGCTGGGTGCAGGGCCCTGTCTAGCTATGCTGAGGCCCTGCTGGGTGGGTCCAAAGGTACCAGCCAATCTCTCACACAGGCGACCCTGGGGACATACCTCGGGCTCCCCCACCCCGTCCTTCTTGTGTCCCGTCTCTGTCCGGACACCTGCCCAGCCTCCCTGTCTCCTACCACTCTTGTCTGCCTCTCTACTTCCCCCTGGTGAGGAGGCCATGTGGGTCCAGACAGAACCCGGCTTGGGCATCAAGCGACTCGAGCTCAGAATTCAGCTCTGCCATCGTCATCTGCTGTGGGATCTTAGACAAGTGGCTTTGCCTCTCGCAGCCTCAGTTTCCTCATCTGTGGAAGGGGCACAGTCACTGCCTCCCCACGGGTTTTACAGTTTTCGAATGTGTAAAAGGTCACATCTGAAAGGCCAGGAGGTTTTGCATTGCGGTGCTGTGGTGGCGATGACCGCACACCCATGTGCGTACACCTAACGCCACCCGACGGTACACTCAGAGGCGCTGAAGATGGGAGATTGTTTGTGTATTTCACCAAAGTTTTTCAAGGTCTGGTGATATCACAAGGAAATCTGAATTTCTGGCTTTTTGTGAAAACTGGGAGGACGGGGATACGCCGGGCCCACATTCCCGCAGGCCCAGGCGGCTGGCTCGGAGCTGTTGGTGCCATTTCGGTACTTGCGTGCGCGCCCTGATTGGGAAAAGCACACAGTAGGCCCTCAACAAATATGAGCTCCTTTCTCTTTGGTCCTCATCTCTCCCAACTCTGTCCCCTGCTCTGTCCTGCCTGCCTGGCTTCCTCCCTCCAGCAGGGCCGCCTTTCTACTCTTCCTTGGCGCCTTGTAGCTTCTCGTCACCCCAGGGCACCTTTGTTTTAACAGAACACCCGTGGAGTCCCTTTCCAGCCTGCCTCCCCTGCGGCGAAATTTCCTCAGATTACCTGGGGCCCATCCGAGCCCAAGGAGCACAAAACAAAAGTGAGTTCATCGTGGAGAACCTGGGAGGCTGGGGCTCTGAGAGAGGTAGTTCCAGCCAGCAGGCCGGCCAGGACCAAGGCTCCATCATGCCCACCCGAGGCTCCCAATCTGTCCACCAGGCACCCAGCGCCGGGACCTGGGAGATGTCCTTGGTTCTCCCCTCCCTCCCTGACGTCTCTCCAGTGCACCAATACTCTCCTTCCCGAAGCCACTGCCTGGGTCCAGGGCCTGACTCCCTCCTCACACTCACCCACTGACCCCTCCCCAGTCCTGCCCAGCCCCCCTCCCCACCTCGCCCCCCAAGACCCTCACGCAGCCTCCACTGCTCACGCCAGGCCCTTTCCCGCCACCACACTTTTGCATCTGCTGTCCCGGTGCTGAAAGTCCCCTTTGCCACCTCACCCCCGCCAAGCCCTAACTGCCCTTCAATGCTCTGCATAAATGTCGCTCCTCAGGGGCACCCTCCCTGCCTGGCAGACCGCTGGCCGCCCCACCTGCCCCGTCCCCAGGGAACTCTGTGCCATATCCGTCACCGTGTCCTATTGTAACTGTATTTACATGTCTGTCCTCATCACTCCACCCCTCCAGACCCACACCCGGAGCTTGGAACTGTGACTTGTCTCTGTGTCCCCAGCACTTCACACAGTGCCTGGATGCAGTGGGGACTCGACAAACGGATGAGGACTGTGCTTTGCAGCCAGTAGAAGGGGGACCAGTCAGGGCAAGAACAGTCTGCTGCGGGCAGGGTGGGGGTGGGCGTCTCGGACAGGAAAAGGAGCTGGGCCTGGCCCTTCCTCTGGCCATTTGGGCTGTGGGGCCAAGGGCAAGGGGTCTCTCTGCCCAGCCTTCCTGTGGCCCAGTGCGGGCAGGGCACGTGCCACCTGCCACGCTGACCTTAGGACTGGTGTAGCTCCAGGGGCCTTTGCAGGGCAGCCGGACCTTGGCCCTGGTCTGGGGAGGGCAGGGTGCGCAGGATACAACCAGACACAACTGGATACCGTTCTGTGTTTTATCGCTTGCTACCGGGACAGACGGGCAAGTCGCTTAACCTTTCTGAGCCTGGTTGTCTCACTTAGGAAAACAGAAACTGACCCACGTGCAGACATAGGCGGGATTCCTGGCCCTGGGGACTCCGGCTGGAGCATGTTGCTGTCTGGATCCGCTCTTCACCTCCACCTTCCCTGCCCCTGCGCAGCCCCAGCCCCAGCCCCTCCCAGCCCGCCGAGGATCTGGGCTTTTCTGCAGAGACCAGGTCCTCTGGCCCTGCTTCTGGCTGCAGCCATCCTGGAGTGGAGAAGGCGGCTGGCTGGGGCTGCCTGCCTCTGTCTGGCAGCACCTGGGGCTCCAGCCCCCAGTCCTGCCATCCGAGGAGAGGGGTGTTCTGTGCAGGCTGAAACCCCATGTCCAGTCCCCTCGGCAGAAAGGGAGCGTCCTGAGCCTTCCTGAGCTCCCGCCCAGGCCGACCCCTGTCAACCTCTTGACCCCATTCCCACCCTCCATTCAAGTCCACCTCAGGCTCAGGCCACCAGCTGGTCACTCACAGGCGAGGCAGTCCCCCCTGCTCCTCCTTTTCCAACCTTTAACCTTTCCTTGCACCCCGTACCAACCCTTCCCCCACTCCAGGAAAGTGCCCCAGATTGACACCTGCTGGTCTCCACCAATTGCCAGGACTTTTTTCCGCTGGGGGCTTCCCCCTTCCCCGGTGTCCTTCAAATGAAGAGAAAGAACAATCCGAGTGCACGGGGTGGTCGTGGTTTATTCACTGTGTTTGGAGACATATGGTTTCTGAAATTGGGGAGGTCCTGGCCAAGGGGAGAGCATAGGCTCATTTTGATTGGGGGAGGTGGTGTCCTGATGCATTTGTTTTCAGTGGGTACCCCCAAATCCCACAAGGGTGTGGGAGAAAGCAGCTGGCCTCAGGATTTTTGGACAGGAATCTCTGATAGGAAGCTGGGTAAAAGGTGAACCCAGGAAACAGCCCCATGCTTCTGAGATGGGCCGAGGGCTGGGCCAGAGTCTGGAGGACCACGGCAGGGCCAGGCAGCCAGATGGCAGGGCCGGCTCAACAGAACCCGTGTCCCAGTGGGAGGAGGTGCAGCTGAGGACAGAGAAGCTGACTCAGAAGATCGGCTTGTTTGTGTTGTTCTGATGGGCGAAGGGCATGTAGTAGAAATCGGACTCCAGTTGTTTAATGATTATTCACCTCACTGACTATAAATAAGTTTCTTTCATTTTCTTTTTCTTTTTTTTATCCTTACTCGAGGACATTTTTTGATATTTTGTTCAGATAGAGTGGGAGGGAGAGAGAGAGAGAGAGAGAAACATCGACGTGAAAGGGACACATCGAGTGGCTGCCACCCACACAACCAACCAGGGCTGGGGACAAAGTGCAACCGAGGTACGTGCCCTTAGCGGGAACCGAGCCCGGGTCTCTCCGGACCGCAGGCCAACGCTCTAACCGCTGAGCCAAACCGGCCAGGGCGACTATAGATAAGTTTCTTACAGACCCTGGGAAACTGGAAGATGTGCTACAAGAAGACAAACAGGGCTATAAAGATGATAAGATGTCTCAAAGCCTAGATGGGCTCCTTACTCAGAAATAAAATATAGACAAAGGACAGGACACATGCTGACTTGGTTGCTGTGCCTGGACCTTGCCCCTTGCCCAGAGTTTGCTTCAGGAATGCTGACCATTCTCCAGTCCCAGGAACAGGCAGAGCTGTTATAACATCATAGAAAATTAACTAGCTTGTTATCAAACTTCAAGGCCGTGGAGCCTGCAGCCCTTACCCTGCTCCCCTGCCCCCTTGCACACAGCCCCTTTCTTATCTCTATATAATCAGCCAGCTCAGCGGAGAGGTTAGAGCAGAATTTACAGGATGACCTGCTGCTCTCTCCATACTGCCAGCATTATTGGAATAAATGCTCATATATGATTCAACCCTGTCTCTGCTTAATTTGGCTCAAGTAGTGACTACAGCCTCAGACCTGTGTCCAATGTCAGTTCCACAGTGGGTCCCCCCGCGTCAGGGGTTAGGGTGTAGTAGAGAAAGTAGCTCAGAGTGTGGGGTTCTGCCAGCTACTAGGCCAGTGCAGGGGGACCCAGGTTCAGGTCTACATGATGCCAACACACCCTGCTAACTCCATCGAGAATCCAGTGCCTCAGGAACCAGGGTGCAGGCTCAAAGCCTAGTCCTAGAACCAGCAGTACCTACAGCACCGGGTGCTTGTTAGAAATGCAGAATCTCGGGCCCCGCCGCAGACCTGAATCAGAGTCTGCCCTGGAACCAGGTCCCAGGAGCTCTGTGTGCACGGCAGCGCGTGAGAGACACTGGTCCAGGTGACCGTGTTCCTGACCACCGTTGTCCTGATGCACTGCTGGGACGCTGCAGGTCAGCATGGCCCCTGCACCCCCACCACCCCATCTGAGTAGGGGCCAGGGGGCCAGTGAAACAGGCCAAACCCAAGCTGGGAGCCAGATTTTGCCAGACCCCCACTTGGCCCCTAGCTGAGCTCCTTCCTGTTCCCACTGGGAGAAGGAAACACGGTCCAGTCCCTTCAGAAACCTTCCCCGCGGAAGATGTGCGTCCTTCCCTCGGCCAAGTCCTGGACACGGAGCCTGGCCTCACGGGCCTTGTCATCCAGGTGCCAAATCATGCTGGCCAAGCTCTCGTGAGGCAGGAGGCCCAGAGCAACGTACAGTGACTGTGGACAGGGCCTCCCCTGAGGCGGGGCCTCCTGTGCGGCATCGCACCCGCCACCGCCCTGCCTCCTGGGGCGGCTCAGCGGAGGCCTGTGCCCCCTCCGCCCCATCGCGGGTTCTCAGATGTGCACTCCGTGTGCTGCCCTCGTGCCCACTGCAGAGGAGACGCACGGCCAAGCTGGCACAGCCCTCTGTGGGGGATTTTTGTCCAGGCTGTGGCACCCACCAGTCCCCAACTTTATAACTTATGGAACACACGCACACATACAATGTGATTAAAATAAAATGTATTTCATATAAATATCTCCATCAAGGAGTCATACAGGAAAGGCCTACATGGCCCTCAGGGGCTGACTAGGGTTTTTTTTTTTGGCGTGTGTATGTTTTTTATTTTATTTTATTTTATTATTATTTTTTTTTATCCTCACCCGAGGACATTTTTCCATTTTTTGTTCAGATAGAGCGGGAGGGAGAGAGAGAGAGAAACATCGATGTGAAGGGACACATCGAGTGGCTGCCACCCTCATGACCAACCAGGGCCGGGGACAAACTGCAACCGAGGTACGTGCCCTTAGCGGGAACCGAACCCAGGTCTCTCCGGACCGCAGGCCGTGGCTCAACCGCCGGCCAGGGCTGTTTTTTAAATATAAAGGCATAAATAACTGTACACGGAGAAGGGCGGAGCTAAATACAGAGCAGGGCAACATTGCCCCTGGTGGTCCCTCGCGGTGGTGCAGTCAGACAGGGTCCATCCTCCTCACCCACTGGCCAGGCCTCGCATTGCAGATTTACTCTCCAAAAGACTAGGGACACCCCAGTTCTCCATTATCCAGGGGTGGACGGGTGGACTCAAAGGAGACAAGAGGTTCCACCCAGTCCAGGCTGCTACTTGGTAGCAAGTCAAGTAAAGGGGGAAGGAGATAGAGAAATAAGATGTGAGGCTTGGGGATATAATTTCCCACCAGCCCCCCGGGCCCTGTGACCTCCAGTAACGGTGACTTGGCCCCATCCTGAAATTCTGCAGCCGCAGCTTTAACACCTCCTGTGGGCTGCTGGAGCTCTGGGATCACCAGGCGGCCCCGCCGCCCCGTCCTTTCTCACCTTGTAGGGCACTACAGCACTGAAGATATCTTCGTGATAGCGCTTCTGGCTCTTTAAGGGAAGACAGATCAAGGTGTCAGCTCTGCTGGTCCAGCCACCTCTCATTCACCAGGTCCAGGCTGGAAGAAGCTCCTGGGTCCCCGGCTTCCCTCTCACTCGTACACTCGTGAGCCGTCTGTCTTCCCAGCTGTCACGCTTGGATGACCCTGGATCTCACTTAGCCTCTGACTCCCACTGCGGCCTGCTCTGGTGTGGACCGCCAACACCTTTCCAGGCTTTGTGGCGGACAGTACAGCCTGCCTAACGCTCGTCCCACAGGGTGCTCCTGGCAGTGCGGGCTGAGGTAAACACGTCTGGTGCGTGCTACATGCTGTCTCCCAGGTTCAAAGCGTCATGACGCAGAGGCGCACGTTAGAGGCTCTGAAAGTCTCACTGTAAAGCAATGTGTCAGCCTTTCTTCAGCTGAGCAACCAGACCAGGGCGTACAGAGGGCCTCTACCAGCCCAGCCACCTCTAGGGTTGCCTTGACGTCCAGAACTGTTCTGAGTCTGACTCCCCGAGTCCTGACTCCCCTAGTCCTGGCTCCCTGGCCCGTGCCCTTGACCTGCATCCGTAGCCCACACACCAGCTGGCATACCTTAAGCTGGAAGAAATAGTCCTCGACCTGCTCCTCACTCAGGCTCAGCTTGGCAGCCACCAGCTGCTTCAGGGTGTGGGCCACATCCCGGGCCATGTGCACGTCCCCACAGACATAGAGGTGGCCTTGCTCCCTGTGGAGCACGTGGAGCACCTCGCCGGCCAGCTGCTGCTGAAGGATGTCTGGAACCCAGTCCTGAAGCCAGAGGAGACGGTGAGTCCTGGCCTCTGCTACTGGGAATGGGGGGCAGGGAGGAAGCATGCAGTCAGGCCTGCTGAGCTGAGGGAGGTGGGCAGGCAGCATGTTGGGCTGCAGGGTGAGCACCCTCCCTGCCAGGACTTTGCACAGGGACTAGGCTCAGCATAAGGAGGTGCACCCTGCCCTGATCAGGCCTGGGCTGGGGCTGGAGAGACAAATGCTGGCCAGAGCCCTGCCCTTGAGGAGCTGACAGTCCAGTGGGGCTCCCAGATGCACCCTGGATTCACCATGCTTCAAAGAGGCATCAATCAAGCCACTTGCCCTGCCCAGGGCTCTGAGGCCCACCTGCCTCACCCTAGAAAAGGCATTCTCGAAGTGCAGACTGTCTGCCGAGTCCCCACTGTGATGCAGAGCATGGCACAGAGCCCAGAGCTCCCCGGGGACAGAGAAGTCCACAGTCAATTGGGGCTCCCAGTGACCCCATCACTGGGCATGGAGCACTGGCTCTGGGAGGAGCCCTGCTGGGACAGGTTCATAAGGGAGGAGCCAAGAGTCTGTCCCAACTCCCCAGGCTCATGGGGCAAAGTGCCCTGGGGCAGTAGAGCCCGTCAGTGGGCTCGCGGTGGGAGCAGTGGCTGTCCGCCACCCGTGCTGTGGTTGCGCGTAAAGCCGGCCTGGGCCACCTCACCAGACAGTTGTGCATCCGGGGGAGGATCTCCAGCAGGCTGGGCCTGGGGATTAACCCACCATGTGGCCCTGACTTAGTCCTGAACGGCTCAGGGCCCGTCTCTTCTCCTGGAAGAGTGAGCGGAATAGCTTCACAGCATCACTCTGACAGTGTAACTGCCCACATTTTAGATCTGAGGAGATGAGGCTCAGAGATGTGAAGGGCGTGTGGGAGCCAGGTGTCCTGAGTGGCACCTAAACCCAGATCCCTCCCAGAGCCAGTGGCCCCACAACAGACAGCGTGGAGGGGGTGCTTACCTTCGTACAAAACAGGGCACTGGGTCTTGGGGGCTTCAGGCTGCTGAGCCATGTACTGCAGACACCGTGGTGCAGGGGACCCTGGCCATCTGCAAGGGTAGCACAGACCTGACCAACACGGCCCCGCACCGCGAGCGTGAACCACCCCAGTGGCTCCTCCCACACTGATGCGCCTCCGTGAACTCTGTGGGCTTTCACGTGGGAGCTGTTTTCTCTCCGTTCTGAGATCTACCCTCTGTATATCCAGAGCTGGTGAAGCTCAAAGGGACTTAGAGAGGGTGCAGGCCTCTCCTTTGATGCTGCAGAAATTGGTCTCAGAGGGACAGTGACTTGCACGAGGTCACTCAGGTAGGAGTAGAATCAGGCCACGGCCCCGCTTCCCTGACTCCTCCAGCGCTCCTTCTAAGAGTTTCTCCAGGGACCCTCCCAGACCCTACTCGGCTCCAGTGACAGTTGTTCAAAGTGGCCGCTGAGGGTGCCACAGTCACTGCCCCAGAGTGTCTTCACAAATACAGGCCACACTGGAAGGAAGCGGGTGACGGACAACCTCCTGAGCACTCCAGTCTGTTCTGACATCTGTGTGCGGCCCCTCCTGGGCTTGGGGAAACCCCAGCCTTTTCTGGGGCGCATTCCCTTCCCAAGAACCCAGAATTTAAAGGGACCTCCAGCCAGCCTGAGGAGTCCTGTGGTTTTCTCTGGAAGGAATCTCTCTCACAGGACGTGCCTGCCCTCCTGTCCTGGTCTGAGGACCGAGACCGATATTCTCTAGCACAGCCGGTCGTCCCTGCGCAGCCTTTAGAATGTGTGACGGCGCTTCTCAGAGCACAGAGGGCAATGCTCAGTGGCTGAGCGCAAGCAGGGGCACGGTCCAGCCAGTGGAGCAGTCACGCCCAACTGGACAAGGTTTCGGACTTTCCAGTCTGTGCCAGCCCATCCCCCACCCTCTGCCCTCATAGCACCCTGCACATTCCTTCTCAGCACCTACAAAATGACAAGTGTCTATTTCTGTGGGCCTCTCTCCATCGCACCCTCCAGAGGGGAAGCTCCATGAGGACAGAGGCTACAGGTGCTGTGTCCACACTGACCGTGGTGCTGAGTGCAGAGAAGTGTGAGACAAATCCACGCTGCATGCGTGAGTGAAGGAACGACCACTCAAGGCAGAATCATGCCTGAGCTCAGGCTGGACTGTCAGGAAGACTAAGAGTCGTTGGGATCGGGGCTTAGTGCTGTCTACAGGAGCTTTTTTTTTTTTTTTAAACCCTCACCCAAAGATACATTTTAATTGAATTTTAGAGAGAGAGGAAGGGTGGGGTGGGAGAGAGAGAGAGAGAAACATTGATGTGAGAGAGACACAATTGGTTGCCTCCAGTACAACCCCAACTGGGGCTGGGAATTGAACCTGCAACCCAGGCACGTGCTTTTGACCAGGAATTGAACCAGCAACGCTTCAGTCTGCAGGCTGACACTAACTGCTGAGCCAAACTGGTCAAGGCCATGCAGGAGCTTTTAATTTAATTTAATTTTTTAAATGTTTTTATTGATTTTTTAGAGAGAGAGGAAAGGAGAGAAAGATGGAAACATTAATGTGAGAGAGAAACACTGGTTGGCTGCTTCCAGCATGCCTCCTACTGGGGATCAAGCTTGCAACCTGGGCATGTGCCCTGACCAGGAACTGAACCGGGACCTCTCAGTATATGGGACATGCCACAGTGGCTGGGCCATCCAGGAGTTTTTGGTGTTTATTTTTTTGGTACATGCCCCTAGTGGGAACTGAACCCGTGACTCTCTGGTCCACAGGCCGATGCTCCAACCGCTGAGCTAAACCGGCCAGGGAGCCAGGAGCTTTTTAAAAATAAATAATCTAGCCCTGGCCGGTTTGGCTCAGCAGTTGGAGCGTTGGCCTGTGGACCAGACAGACCTGGGCTCGGTTCCCGCTAAGGGCTGGTACCTTGGTTGCAGTTTGTCCCTGGCTCTGGTTGGTTGTGTCCCTTTCACGTCAATATTTTTTTCTCTCTCTCTTCCTCCTGCTCTATCTGAACAAAAAAATGGAAAA